TTGCCTACTTACTCTGCCAGGATGTTTTATCCCACAAACATGCAGAACCTGCGTCCTCTGGTGGCAGAATAGGTGAGGATTAAGATCACCTGCCATTGAGATGCACATATATTTTATGCTAACTCATTCGTGCCTGCAAAAATGGTGTGTCTGTGTATTCAGGAATACATATTATTATCATCGCCTTCCAGTTGGCAGTTTGTGATGTTGGGATATACTTGGTGTCAAACCAAAACTTTCATTTTAGCCGCTAACAATGTGGTTAATCTTTGTGATAACAAGCGACTTTTTCATCCTGAAAAATGGTGCCCTCTGGGAGACTTCCCCAAATGTACTGACATTAAAGAAATTAGCACCACCTTCCTCAGCTGCTATGTACTGTATCATCACTAAAGACAGGTCTAGTAAACGAGATTAGTCATTGTCGACTGCATGAATCCTCAAAATGAGCAGAACGTTTCCCTGGTAATGACTCAGAATGCCTAAAATGCTTTTTTCGGTACCTCATAAGCTCCCCATTGGGACTTACGAGATGGTTTTAAAAGATGGCGTATCTCGTCGAGTACCAACAACACAAATGCACATCCGTTTCTGCAAGAAGTTTGTCGGATGCACGCAGAGCGAAAGCACAATGATCCTGACGTAAGCATCCCCGTGTGATTGAACTCCTGAACGCTGAAGTAGACGAAAACGCCGAATTCGAAGCATGAAGTTTTCAAAAGGCAGGGAATAAGTCATTTTTCGATGATTGAAATAATAATTTATCTGTAGTTGATGAGGTCTATGATGCGAACATTCATCTGTTTATTTTCGCTTCGTACGCTGTATCTTAGCAGAGAGACTATATGGGATGAACCTACAAGGAATATAAAAGTAAAAAGGGTGAAAACTCCGTCTCTATGCACAGACACACGTCTGATTTGTAGGAACTGATGAAACCAATTGGCCGTCCATACCCTTGGTGGTATTGTTCGAATCTGTAACAACAACCTGGCCAATAACACCATAAAAGTAGAGAAGTTGTCATGACATAGTGTGATACTGAGAGACGAGGAGTAGTTGTTTTGTGTTTCATTGTTTTCCTTCCCAAACATACAACATGATATTTGCATGCAGAATGCAACTGAAACCAACCCTGCAGCGAATTGCATTTAAAATCCGTCAGACCTTCCTTTCAACAGCCTTCCTGAAACTATCTGATTACAACTAAGAGAGTTGCTGTCCACTTGCCAGTAACCGCAAGCTGACGATCAGTAGGCATTCTGTCCTTAAAATTTAAGAAAACAGGCATTTATCCTACATGACATAATAGATAAGATGTATCGTAACGTGCGACAGCTGCGCCTAATTTGTCTTTCTATGTGTGGCAAATGATGGTGAGTGGAGCCAGCCACTTTAATGCACTCGGAATATATCGCGTAGTACTAGGCTACGCACTGGTAAGCGGCACGGACCCGCATTTTAGGAGCGAACAGTTTGATTTTTACATTTTCGCTTCATCAAGAGTAGTAATGTTCAGCGTGAATTGTCATGTTATGAAGTTAGCGCAGTAGATGTCAGTAACGTCTCTGGTTCGCAATTAATTTTCACCATGCCACTGCTTGCCTTCTCTCCCATTATCGGGGATCAGATTTAGAGCACCTCATGCACTCCATGAAGGTGCTTACTACTACCAGTTTGTGTTATCGTTGGTTTTAATTGTGACCTTCTGCCCTCATAATGCCTCTAAGGTGGTTCGTGTGACACATTTCCTCATGCCTACATCATGCATCTTCTGCGCAACAACTTCAAAAAGGAAGATAACAAAAAGTTCGATTTCCCGCCACTATCTCTCAACTGTTATGCTTTTTGACTTTTAGGACCAAGCTACCGGATAACCTGGTAACTGCGAATAATACGGTCGAAGCACAGTCTCCTCTTAGAAACCCATGGTAGCTTGAAACTCACGCCTTAGTATAAAAAAGAATCCTCTCCAAGTTTCCTTTATATATACCCATAAAAAATTACAATCGGCACCTATTTCTTCATTCAAACTACTTTTATGAAAACGCTATTTTGTGCGATGGTAAGGCGTCTAACCGGTGGTAGTTTAAAAATGCCATGTAGGAAAACTAGTGTGTTTGGTGACCCAGTGTGGGAACTGATGGGCCGCCAGTGTGGTTTGCCAATGCGCAGCCATGAAACTTACTGAAGAGGCTGAGCGTTTTTAGTTGAACAGTTTCTAAGCTGCTGTATACACAGCGGGTGTTGCGAAAAGTCTTGCCACAAGTTACAAATAGGAGAGCAAATATGTGTGGCGAAAGCAGAAAGTTTAAGCCTCACTGAATATGAACAATAGTTTTCTTGGGTATACTACGAGTTACTCTGCGGTGCTGTAAAATGTGAACTATGAAAAATATGTGTAACTGTTGCTCAGTAACACACGAGTTACCGTTGTACACGATGTTCCTAGGTTTTCGCCACATAAATTCTCTCATACCAATCACTGTGCAAGTAAGTGCTAACTCACAAAGCCAACTAAACTAAGCCGGATTGATGTTATTATATTTCTAACTAAGACGATCACTTGTTCAAAACTGTCTGCGACCTGTCGCCCCTCACAGGCAACAAATTCATGGTACATGTGCCACCTCTGCTTTGGTGCCGAACTGCGCCACCTAAGCCAAAGACTAGCGAGCGCTTGTACAGGTAGTAGATTGCCGAAATCAATAAGCTGTAGTTCAGGCATATTCTAAATTTTATGGCCATAATGGTTTGACTGAATTGCTTTAACTGAAGGTACACGAACAAGCGAGCATACTAGTTAGTACGTTATGTTAGGTCGCGTTGCCGGTTCACTATCTTCTAGCCTATTTATTATCACCGAAGGTTTGACCAGTGAAACTTGACGGATTCAACGAATCCGATGTTTTCCTTTGGTCTCACACTCACAAGTCCTTTACAACGTGACGAATTCATGCTTGGTGCTTGCACCTTTAATGATGACATGCGCAATTCTAGGGCAATAAGTAAAGTTTCTCACCCAAAGGTAAGGAAACTTTCATGACGTGAAGCAATATCTCCTAAACTCCTTAAAGAAGCCCTGAAGCCCCTGAAAGCCTCTACAGTTATTCTCGGTACCCCGAGTATGCTCGATTACCCATGTGGCTCAAACCCCAGACTTCTTGTTGTAGAATTAGTGAACGGTGGCTCCTTGAGTTCCACATGTCTCGCTGTAATATAGTACTCATTCAGAATGGTCACAGTTTCCTTCCTGGTTCTGAAAAACCTGAAAGGGCAGAGATGATCGATTCTCTGTTGGTCTGCTCCCCATGAGACGTGCTCTTCCGCTTGATCTGTTGATGAGGGAAGTCTTCTCAGGCGCAGCCCATCGGTACCGCAAGACTCCAAATGTGCGTCTAACCTCCCCTTGAAAGTATCAGGGGAGGGGGGGGAGGAGGAGTTCCGCTGTAAGGGCGTTCCACAGTTTGCACACCCTAACTGAAAACGGGTTAGCACAGATCTTTGCATCTGCTCTCTCATGCTCTGTCCCAACGAGTGGCCCCCAAGGTGTCATTTTTGATCGAAGCTTGGGTGGATTCTGGGAAGATGAGGTGGAATACAGGGAGTGTAATACACAATGATCGTATTCCCTCTCATCCTCCGGAACTGTATTGCTTCCGGCTGAGGAGCAACTAAGCGATCCAGGTAAGGTTTGTACCGTAACTTCATCATCTTTTTCTCAGCTGTTCTTAGAAACCGCCCTAGGATGGTACTATCCTTATTCAAGTGTGAAGACGTCATGAGCGGGTTGTTTCAAGATGAGGAAGATTAAAAAGTCTAAGTGGTTATGCATGTGAGATTCCGGCTAGCCAAATGTTCCTTTTGGACGGGCGCAGAAAGTACCAGGAGTGTTTTTTGCATATATCTACAGCGAAGTTTTTCACGAATTTTGACATCATGATACACCTTCTTATCTTCTTGTCACTTTTTAAATGTTTTTGAGGAACCGAGAGAACCTCAAGCAGGAAGCTTGGGGTTATTGCTGGAGTCATCATGAAGATGCATACAACCGGTCTATGTTGGAAGACTAATGGCCAGGTTATCACTCAACTGTATCTAGAGATGGCAAGATTACAATTTGCTCTGGCGGCTATCAAATAAGAACCAATAGTTGGTAAATTCACCTTCAAAGGAAGAAGGAAAGGTCTTTGGCTTTCTTGCAGCAACCAAAGTCTTGGTCAACTGGTGTTGTCCAATAAGCACAAAACTCTTCCTTGTCTTTCACTTCTTTGTAACACTAATTGCCTTTTGAAGCAATGATAGTTTTGACAGACTTGTTGATCTGCATTGGTTCTGAAGTTTATTATTCCCCGTAGAGTTTGTGGCAGGGGTTCATCATCTCCACATTCAGCATTAGATTTTAATTGTGGATATATCGAAAGCTAGGGAGGTTGTCACAAACTTGGTCACAACAAGAAATGACACAGCCCAGTCAAATCATTATTTCACTGCAATGCGGACTGGATCAAAAAAACTCACGCTGAGACGCTATAATTTCGGCTACTTGTTGGTTCGGTGATGACAAATGCTGGATATTCTTGTGCTGAAGTACGAATCATGAGCACACCACACCACTAACATTTCTCCTTCTGGTTTTTTCTAGACCTTTTGTAGCACAATCTTAGAGGATTTATGCACAAACCAAACCTAGAACATAGCATGTTAGATAGATGACACAACTCCTGTCCACTAAGAGGCGTTTAATGCTGCAGAAGTGATTCACACTATTTCTTCTGAGTCCTTCAAACCCCTGCTTGAAATGTACTTGAGGTATGGATGGAATCTGCTCAGAACTAACATTTCGAATTTTAATTTCAATGATTTGCTCTTTCTTCAGTTGTATACAGGTTAGCAACCCCGAGAAGTAATGATCCAGGGAATTTAGGCGTGAAGGGCAATTAAGCGAAAGCTTCTTCTGTTCCATCAACAAACATTTGAATATTTGTTTCAGTCGCTTGGAGGATGCCAGCGCCTAACATGGTAGGGACTCAAGGTCGCTCCTGATGGCTTCGGATATTGTTGGTTGTGATGGGGATAAGGAGGCTTCAACGTATATTGTTTTGTTTTATCTAATCGTTTCTTCAAATAAATATAGGGAGTTGAATGACCTACGATGTCTTCCTGATTTCGCTGCACTATGCTCCTGTTTGACGTTTTTTGGCGCTGATCTTGGTATTCATCTAACATTTCCACAGTTGTTCAACTTTCTTGGTCTCCAGATGCAGGTTGGTAATACACCGAGATCTTGCATTTTAGCTAGCTGCTTATCTTTATGACTTAAGTTCAGTAAAGTTTAGCTAATAAGATCCTAACCAGATTTTCGTAGGTGATAATGTTATAGTGTTACATTTTGACACAGTCCCTCACTTCTTGTCCAACACTCACGTTTCTGTTAGTAAGGTGATTGTGTGAAAAGGCATCAGGTTGCTTCATCCTATCACTACAGCAATTAATATGATCCATAATTATAATGTGTGCTGACTTATCCTAGCCTCTCAACAGGGTTCAGAAGACCTCAGGATAAGTGTTATCGTGATGTTTTGTAGTTAATGTGACTTTCTGAAAAGCTTCGTAGTTCTAATGACTCCTAAAAATACCATGAGTTTGAGCTGGAACTCTGTCAACTGAAAGGTGTATCATCATCCTATTTGATGGTTATTGTTTTCAAGCTTTGTAAATTTTCTCAAGTTATTGCTACTCAACATGAGTACCATTTAAGGGGATTGTCAAGAGAGAATTTCTTATCGAAAAGTCCGAAAATAACGTGTTAACTTGATACTGTACCCGTTAAGTAATACCTTAGACATAGCCATTTTATCGAGGATTTGAAGTATAAAGTATGTTGGTTTTAAAAATTAAGTTATTTGAATTTCGTTGCTAAAGCTTGCTGTATGACTGCAACCTTTATCATGGATGACTTGTGAAGTGCTCAAACAAGCTGGTTCTAATAAAAGCTACCTAAAACGACTCACCTGATAGTGCAGATGGATTGTGAATTGTGTTGTGTTAACAAATAGTTTTGACCAACAAACCGATTTTATGTGTTCTTAGTACTAAACACCATGGTATAAATTTCAATTCCACTTGGTGTTTTCATATTTTCCTCAAAGGTTATTCCATGTCCTTATCCATAGTGAGTCGGAACTAATCTGTTATTTTAATGGGAATGAGATACCTGTGCTTTGCCAGACTGTTGTTAATAATACTGGTTGGAGATTGGTGACTTGAAAATTTGTATTTCAGCAGGATCCAAACCTGGAAGCCTTAGGTCCAAACCCCTTCGCGATTTATGTTTCCATTTTATGTTTACATTCCACTTCGAACTAGTTTTTTCATGTTTAACCTTGTGGTGTCAGTGAGTATTGACACGAGATCTTGTGATGCTGCGTGTTGGTCCTATTTGCATCACCTCAGTTCCGCACATCTGGACCTGAAGTAACATGGCGAACGATTGGGAATTAATATGAAGGAAAGTCATCGGCCATTAGAAGAGGGGAATATGGGGAGAAACAATCACAGTGCTGTATGATGATGTGTGAATTCCTCTGTGGCACTCAAACCAATTCGAAGTCATGTTACCTTAAGGCCCCAACCCCCGATTTCAGTTCCCAAGAGGAAACCAGCCTGTTTATCCTTCATTTCCCTAGATGACTCAAACTAGCTGGTTAATATCAGCGGGGTGTGTATCTCTGATGCAACTGATTGGCTCACAATCTCGATTCAAAAGAAATAAGTCCCAGATTCATATCTCGTTTTACTTCGGCTTGGGAAAGCGAGTAGTAATCATAAGTTGTCATAGTGTAACTCATAGCCTACTACGTAAAAATGTACTGGGTTGAGTTATATTTATTTATTTACTACATTAGATACCCAGTCGAGTTAAAGTGGAGCATTTTATTCACCAGTTTAACCTGCAACACTTCACAGGAGCACATAAATGATTAGAAGAATGATATTGAAGTAAATAAGTGTCTAAGAATTGCGAATCAATAAATGAAGGCTAGTTAAGTTTTTAGCGTTTCGAATTCGCACCTCATCACAAAGCCTTCAACCGTTGAGTTTCGAAGCTAGATGGTCTGCAATTACGGCTCAGCCCAATATTCATAGGCTTCATGGTGGTTACGATATTCTGGTTTGACCACATTTAGCTTTCTTTCACCCTAACCTTACTTCGACGTTGGCTAGGAAATACAACGTATGTCCTAGTAAGCGAATGTTTATAACCTCATGGACCGACTCATTATTGCCTAGAATCCTACACCTGATCTTAATGTTGTTCAATAATGATTCCACCACACGTAAACAATGCTACAAAAGCTCTGATAGTCAGAAACCTTTAGCTTCTTCATATATCCTACTTAGGGTGTGTACTGCACTGCAGTTCGTTCCCTGGTGTTATATGACTGTGAGACACGACCTTTAAAAGTCGAAGCAGTTACAGGATTTGGATCATAAGTTCATTGGTAACCGTGCTCGCGTTTGGCGAAATCATCGTGTGAGCAATGCTAAAGTCAGGTGAAGGGTACTAGGCGAGATAGGAAACCCGATTGACGAGGTTGTAAACCTTCATCGGCTGAGGTGGCTTGGATGTGTGTTACGCATACCAAGCCACCGCCTAATTTTCTATGTACCGTGCTAGGAGAAGCTAGATAAGATTGGAAGAGGGTTCAGGGTAGCCAGACCAAGATGTGGCACCAGTCGATGAAGCCCCTGATTGTTAGTCTGAGCAGTGTTGATATGGGCTTCCTGAATGGGGTCCTCGAGACGACGGAAACCAGTGGTTAAGGACTCTTGGCGATGTGGTTGAAAATCGGTTGTAGTGGCGCAGACGTATTCACTCCCTGACGTCCCCTAAGGCTTGAATATTCGCATTAACCTCTGTCTTCAGATTGTTTATTCCTTCACAAAACTTCATCTACTTTGATATTACTATCAGTTCTTTGTATACTACTGTGAAGTGTGACAACTTGGACTGATGCACTTGTCATTTTCTACTCAGCTGAGCAACGGGATAAAATGAAGTGATGCGTAATATACGCCTCCTGTGATATTTAGTCGTACATTTTTCAGGGATTATATTTGGTTTAACCTGGCAAATGCCAAGCAATCCGTTTATGTCCGCACTCAGATTTCGTCAGAAACCGACCCATTTGGGTTAGTGTAGCCCCCCCCCAAGTTAGTGAAGTGGTCAGCATACTACACTGCTCCACCCATCTTTAAACTAGACTCTAAAGAACAATCGTTACTTCCTGGATAACTTGTTGGGTCATTGTGACATGCATATCTGATTGCAACAGTAAAGTAACAATCATCAGTAAGTGTTGATGACATTTCTGTTACGCTCCTGAAAAGCGATACCTTATGAAAAATCCTTTTCATTTGTATCTGCTATAATTGACTACTTTGTGTGTAGTGAAAACTGACCTACTGAACTGGATCAATCACCTGACTTTATCATTCCTCACACGATGATTCCACTAAATGGCAACAAATCGAAATCACCCAACGATCTATGCTGATAGAATGATTTTTCAACTAGGTCATTCTCTACCAGAAAAGTCTGTTGGACAGTGGTTAGAAATAAAATGGTTATAATGTTTATTTGCTGCGCTATAATGTCCTACTACTGACTGGGTAAGAGTGTGACAGCAGTAAGATGTTTCCCTTGGATGACCAACAGTACCACATTGATATACTGTTTTTCCCATGGTAAAGGAGGGTTAAAACCGGTCGACCCTTCAAATAGCACACTCTTCTCTACTCCGAGGTATGTGGGTGCCTGCGGTATCAGTTCATAAGCAGATTCGCACTAAACAAAACTATCAGGCTTTTAAGAAGGTCATGTGTAATCGGTTTCAAGCAGATGTCCCTTGAGCTCTGCAATCATGCACTAACTTTTTCAGGTAACTTACGAAGAAATAGCCTTCCACTGTGTGGTCAGCAGGGAATTGTTAACCATTGTCACAACTCTGTCAGCACTCTCAGATCACTGTCCGCTTCCCAAATCTTTAACTCCTAATCTTCCTTCTCGTCTTTCGATCAATAATCCCACATCATCTTTAATTTCTTCCATCTCTGCGGCTCTTGAAAACGATCTAAGTTCGTAGAACAGCATCCCTTGTTTACTTCGAGCTAAACATTGGAGCTTTCAATTGGTTTACCCTTCGTCTAATCGACTAATCAACTCCGCCAGATAAAACTATTATCTCAAGTCACGGGTGTATGCTGTGTTTGTAAAACGTGCACAGAGGACCCACCCGGCCAATACGGGGAACCTGTAAAGTTCATATCTGCAGTTCCTGGATATTCAATGACCAGTCCTCACAGTCTTGCAGGTGCAAGTGTAGCACTAAGTGCTGAAGCAGAAAGTGTACTGCTCGACCGGATCCCAGATGACAGTCGCCTATGTGCCGTTCGACTGAACGGTTCACTGAGGTACAAAAAGAGCAGTGAAACTCACCGTTGTCTCTTTGCAATCTCTGCTTTTGCACCCACTTATTGCAGTTAGGATAAAGTGATATATTAGTTCTACTAAAAACTGTCTAGCCTCCTACTGAAAGCTGAGCGTTCAGATGATTTCAATGCACAAGTCAATCAATCAATATCAGCATAGTACCAGGCATTACTGCGTAACGGTTCTAGTTGCCATAGCTCAGTACAGTGTATCAAGTAGAAAGGTAGTGAGGTAAAGGATGGAGGTAAGAAAATGCAGTCAAAAGAAATATATAGTACGAGAAGAAAGGAAGGAAGAATGACAAAATGGTGAGATTCGGTACAGCGTCGTTAAGATGAGAATAATGTATGTATACATCTGCACCACTGACATCGGTTCTGAGCCATATCCCCTAGAGTCTCCAACCACTGGTTCCTCTTTTCCCGTGGACCCCAACCGGTTAGTCTGCATCGCCTCACATGGCTCAAACCAACAGTCAGAGACTTCATGCATTGGTGCCATTTTTTAGTCTGGCCACCTCGGGCCTTTTTCCAGCCTGGGCCTACTTCGGCCAACATTGTGTGACGAGGCAATTGGTAACTAGGCGCACGTAGAACGTGTCCCAACCATCTCAATCGATAAAGATTCATAACCTCGTCAACTGATTTACCTCTACTCCTGACTTCTGCATTACTCATATGGTGACACCACGGAATACGTCCTATACTACGAAGGCAACGGTGGTCAAACACTTAAAGCCTTCTCATATCCCACTTTCAATGGTCATGTTTCACAGCCATACAGTAGGACAGACCGGACTGCTGTGCAGTACACGCGACCCTTAATAGACAAACGGATGTCACGGCGGTGCCGTAGGTGGCGCAAATTGGCGAAAGCCAATCGAGTCTTTTGTATCCGTGCATAGATTTCATCGGCAACTGACCCACCAGGGCTGATCCTACTTTTCAGGTTAGTGAAGTGGTCGACACACCCAACCACATCACTCTCTGTTCTTAGCCGTGGTACCGCTAAAGATCAATCCTAGAGCAACAATTTGCATATGGGTGGTGAGAACCGCATTCCAAACATTCTCAAATTCACACTCAAAGTGTTCAGAAGACTCTGCATCTTGTCAGCGTCTTCACTTAACAGGACCATGTCATCTGCATATTCTAGATCTAACGAAAATTCTCCTGTGATTAGGTCTACGTCTGTGTAATTAGGTGACGAGAGGGAGACCTCCATAGGAGTATCTATGATGAAATTGAATGGAGACAGTGGGCATCCTTGACGGACACCACTCGATGAGCATAGCTCCCTGGACAACTCGCCATAGGCTCTTACATGCCCACAATTGTTCGAGTAGAGAGCTTTCAATAACGTGATGTACTTACTAGGCACGCCTTTCAGTGACAGACATCGCCATAAGACTTCTCGATCAACGGAGTCAAATGCCGCCTTCAGGTCGAGAAATACAGCTATTGTCGGGCGTCTGTAAGCATGCCTATGTTCCAGGACCTGGCGCAGTGTGAATATTTGGTCGATACACCCGCAGCCAGGTCTAAAGCCTGCTTGGTTTTCTCGGGCTTGCTGTTCCCGAGCTCCACTCAGGCGTCGGAGAATTATAGAACCTAGGATCTTGAACACTATTTTCGTCAGGCTGATTCCTCTGTGGTTACCACAAGAGGACTTCTCGCCTTTCTTGAAGACTGGAATGATCAGTGACTTAGATGAGTTAGGGGGGATCGTATTTGATTCCCATATACTGGCTAACACTTCCGTTAACCTGACTAAGAGCACTCTACCACCATTCTTGTATACCTCAGCAGGTAGTCCGTCTGGTCCTGCTGCCCTTCCTCGTTTCAGGTTACCTACCGCTTTCTCAACTTCTTCTAGTGTTGGGGGGCCTGTCTCTATGTCCCATTCAGGATCCGACTGGATAGCGGGCAACGCAATGGTGGCTGGAGGCCAGTTAAACTGTTCCTCAAAGTGTTCTGCCCATCGTTCCAGTCGTCTCCCCTGCGAGTGAATCGGAGACCTGTCCTTCTCCGCTATAGCCTCACTAACTGTTTTTGACCTTTTCCCCCCAGTCTCCTTAATAAGTCTAAATAACTGTCTACTATTACCGATCGCCGCTGCCTTTTCCATCTCTTCAGCCTTCGCTGCCCACCACTGTTCGCGATCGTTGCGCAGACTTTTCCTCAATCTGCTTTTAAGTTGTGCTCGCTCTTCATTGTACTCAGAGCCTGCAGGCAGGGATGCGTTCACGTGCATCCATTAGTTCAGAAGAAGCTGCTGATATCCACTGGCTCTTTTTAGCCATTATTTTGGAGTCGGTTACAGTCTACAGTGCTGCTTTTACAGCAGACTGAAGAAGGCACCAAGCTTCTTCTGGATGAGTGACAGTCTTTTGTTCCGATAACTGCCTAGCCAACTTCTCACTGAACACGGCTTTGGTGTTTCCGTTTTCCAGCAGCACTCGTAGTGGTTTTGTTGCCAAATTTTTTCTACGTCCATTGAGACGCAGGCATATACGTGCTCGGACCAACGCATGATCGCAGTCCAAACACGTACTCCAGAAGGAGCGGCAGTCTTCGCCGATCCTCTCCAGCGATGACTAATAGCAATGTGGTCTATCTGTGTCCATCGCTGAGTTGAGCTCGGTGGACGCCAGGTCAGACAGTTTCTTTATGTCTGAAATCGGTGCTGGCTAAAAATAGGCGGTTATCTGAGCATAGTTGTAATAGGCGATCACCGTTATCTGTACGTTCAGCTGGGATTCCGAAAGTGCCACCTAAGTGCCTTTCTGCCTCACTCAGTCTACCCACCTGTGCGTTGAGGTCACCTGCAACAACCACCACGTCCGAACGTTTGGCTTTCGAAAGGAGGTTAGACAGTTTGCGGTAGAACTTGTCTTTCACTTCATCCGAGCTGCAGTCAGTGGGTGCGTAAGCAGAGATTACAAAGAGACAACGGCGAGTCTCACTATTCCTTTTAGTTCTCACTGTGCCATGCAGTCGGATAGCGCAGAGGCGACTGTCAACTGGGATCCAGTCTAATAGTGAGTTTTCTGCCCTAGTGCTTAATGCTATGCTTACACCTGCAAGACCCAGAGAGCTAGCTATCGACATGAGGAACCCAGCAGAACGTGTCCGATATTAATGAAGTGAAGGGAAATGAAAGCATCAATAAAGTAAATGCCATATAGCTAACTACATAATGTGAAGACTAAATTCTGTCTATACATTTATGTTCTACATTTGTCAAACTTTGCCAAAAGATAGTTATGGTTATGAGAGTTAAACTCTAAATGTTGTCATGAAATGTTCTAAAAAATTAGTGCAGATAAAGTAGGTGTATCTCGCTTCTTGAAATAGCTTTCTTACGAAATACTTGGGAGAGAATAAGTGTCTTAAAGTATAGTCACTCATGCAATTAAAAGTGGTTCCTGTGTATCATGAGTGTTACTTATACTGTTTGCATTCACGAAATGATTAGCCTCATTTATTCCAAATGTTGATGTTACATAGTTTCCTAATCTTCAGTAGGTAAAGCGATGTTGAAACTCGGAACTTTTTCGGTTAAAAGTTGAATGTTTGAACCAATGAGCCGCAACTTCACAAAATCCGCTTTTGAGTGTTTGTTCGCAACCACTTGAGAACATATCGCTCTAGTATCGTACCTGAACTACTCGATAACTGCAGACTGAAGTATCAGTATAAAACGCTTCACAACTTTGCATTTCATCCTCGCTGATGCTTCTCCATGCGTTTCCCCTGGTAGCTCCTATTTTGATATGTTGACCAAACTTGCTTACTTTGAGAAACTTTCAAGGTATACTGGCTAGAATAGTTTTTCCCTAAGATTCTACCATTTCATAAAGGTTAGTTGAATACCAGTATGACTCAAACAACTACTGTTATAACATGACCAATCTACATGTCTACCTTGTTATAATGGTAAATTTCTACTTCTGATTGAACAAAAACGTGACTGGATTAAAATGTGTACCTGCCCTTTTCCTTTAGTGAGGGGTTAGAATAAGTTGGCCCTATAAACTGTACATTTTATGTTACCTTGCAACCTTTCACAATTAACTAAAGTGTTGTGTAAGAAGAGAAGCAACTCTACCATATTAAACACTGTAAAAAAGGACTCTTCTGATCTATCTATGCTTTGTCGTTGCACAAAACTAGTTCATCTTTTCCTTTTAGATTGCGCGTTGAGATAGGCTATATAATTTTCAACTTGTAAATCGTAGAGTAAATACAGGGTTTCGGTGTTGCGTTCTCTGAATTGAATGACTTAGTCGTTTCGCTTGCATAGTTTTTATCAATCGTATCATCATCAAATACCTCTGGAGAAGTCACTTCGTTGAATTTCACTCTCTTTATACTATTTCCACTTTTGATGCATGAATAGTAAAGGTAATACATTTCTCGTCAAATTTTGCTTCTTTTTACAAGCAAATGCAAAGATATGGGAGACATTGCACGTCAAACTTCTCAATAAGTTAAAATACCGAGCTCGTCCTGATCGTTGGGAACCAGTCTTGGGACGCTTTTTGCTGAACCACGGTCTTCATATTGAAGGGATTCAAACAGCTGTGGAAGTCCTCTTGAATGCTGAAGCTGTATATGATGACAAAGTGAATATTTTTGTTCAGGAAGGAGCTAAGCATGTTCTTCCTAGTTATTACAAACTTCCGCCTTACGTTCGTGTGAAAACTCTTCTTTGTCTTTTGGAAACCCAGTTTGATCGTAATCAACCCTTTAAAGACAAAGTGAATTTGCGCTCTCCCGTGGATCTGCGATCTCCTCCTTTGGGTGTAGATGTATGGGGTAGAAGCTATTGGTTGCTGAAGGATTCAGATGTAAATATTTACATATACAGAGAAGATCATCAAGATAATAGCTTTATGGTAAGTTCTGTTTGCGTCATTGTCTTCTTGTTTCCATTATATTTATTAACAAATTTCTGACTCGATAAAGACACTGTGAAACTGCTTCCGTAACATTCCAATTTTTCCCCTGTTTCTATACTCTCCTTTTTTATGTCTTCGTAATGTTGCTTTAGTACTTTATATGGCAGTTCAGACGATACAGGGAATGAATTCTATCAAAACCAGCCAATTTAGTTGCATAAAGCAAAACGTTGAGCTATGGTCATTATGGCGAATGACTCAGTTAGGGAAGGTGCGCCAATCGGAATGGCATTCGAGAGATATTTTTGCACTATGATATCTCATGCCAAGGAACCGATAAGGGTGATTGTTTCTCACATTTTGTCCCAACAGTTGCTTAATTCTGGCTGGAACCAGCTTCAGGCATAAGGAGAAGTACCGTCTCACTTGGTTTTCACTGACATCAAACCAACTATAGACACGGACAGACCATATTAGCATAAGCCATCGTTGTAAAATTGTCGCAGCTTCTGACGTGCCTGGTTGCACTCTGTGTTCATGCGTTAGTAAAGGCACGTTTGTTTTTGTGTCTTTTTAATTTACTAGGTACATGAAAGAGACAGCAGTGAAGCCTGCGTGTACTTGATTGGAAGGTGAGAACGTGAAGTGTGCACTTAAAGATGGGTGTATATATATATGTGTGGTTCAGGATGTATGTGAACGTGGGAGTAGTTGTCTTCCAGATGAAGGCTGGTGTGATATTTGGTTTGTTGTAGAAACAGTGTTAAATACAGTTGACAATCTCCATTCGAAGGTTAGCAAAGTCCATTGAATTTTCTCAACTTGTACGGATGTGATAGGACTGATTTCAGCGTGTTGCTCTGAATAGAATGAAGAGCGGAAGCGTTTGGAAGGTGAATTGACTGAGATTCTTCTCAGTGATCATTGTCATAAGTGAGTGGGTAAAGCGAATGAGATGGAGATGGAGAAGGTATTAGTATTAGGTGATGTTCGTGAGTTGTATATGTTTATGAATGATACTGACGAGAAGAAGACGATTGTCAATGTAACTACCGGTGTTGAGGGTATTGTTCAGGTGTAACCCCTCATGACAGGTGGGTAGAACGTTGTACAGGATATTTTGAAGCACAGTTTGAATGGGTTGACAGTGACACTTCAGTTTCCCATTACTGATTCCGAATATGATTGTGATGTAAATGTCGGCCTTTCAACTGTTGTTGAAGTTGAGAAGACTGTTAGAAGTCTGAGGTGATGCCAAGTAGCAGGACTTGACGGTTTTGGATATCAAGTGTTCAAGGATGAAGGTGAAAAATTTTTGGAATTACTGAAAATAAGTCCCATGGGGATACTTAAATTATGTATTGAAAAAATACCACCAGTATTGATAAAATTATTGAAACCTACATTGTAGTTCCCATTGGGAGTTCTATTTTTCGACATCACATTGTACGGTGTTCTAGCCGTAAGGTGTCTGTGGAGACGGTTCTGCTGCATCTGCTGGCCATAGATCACCGACTACTCTCACAGGGAGCAACTGGAATGACGGACGTATCCATCCACCCATTGTTGTTAATGAATGACTACTAGGTGTATGTTGCCACAAACTTCTGCACTTCGTCTTTCAAACCCCACCAGTTCACACTTTGTATTTCATCCTTGCAACACCTTTATGTACACGCTGGGGGTGGGCTGGGTGGTGTTTATTAATCAACTCGTTAATGGTCAGGTTAGAGCCCCGTAGGCACCTAATGATGACCTTTCTTTCAAAATCGAATCGAACCGAAATGCACTCAGTAGCTACGTGCGCGTTAGTGTGGTAAGTAGTGAGCCTCACCTACTGTGTCAAGGCCAATGATGCCACCTGGCTGTCCAGACCTCGGTAGGTGGAGCTGAGTTCGAACTTATGACCCAGTAACTGAAAGTCAACTACCAAGCCATTGACCTACAGCTCTTTCTGAGTGAATATTATTGTTAGCCCTTTACCTGACAGCAAATGTTTTGCATCTTTTGTTCGTATAACGATTAAGGATGGGATCCGACTTATGTTCGCTAACCGATCTAAATGGGTTGTGTTCCAATGTATTGACTCTATATGTTGATTCTAGCAGCTCAACTTCATCTGGTTTCTATGAGAAATCAGCTAACCGATTCACTTTCCATAAAATGTGACCAATCTTAAAAGCGTATTCTTGCATATATCGCATCCACTTCGATAATTTTCCCTAGAGTTTCCGGCTGTTTTCAGCCGGTGTAGGGGCTTGTAAAAGAATCTTCCTATGGAGTCGTTAACTGAGTAAATAAGCTCTCTATTTGTCTACCGCTAAGCAATCCTTTTCAGTTGTCGAATACCTAGCTGCCGTACTCAACAACATTGATCTGCATAAAAATTGCACCTATTCTTTAATCACTGACATCAGTCGATACTGTGAAAAGCTTCCCCAGTACTGGTAATCTCAAAATGAGCTACTGATTGTCTAGGAGTTTCTAAATTGGGTCTAACACTTTCTGTGCCTCCTCTCTTTACACGAATTTCAGCACACTCAGAAACCTATGTAGGGTGCTGTTACGTCATTCAAATTTTTTAACGAAGTGACTGTAGAATGCTGTCCACCCCAAGAAGCTTTATCTGGCTTATCCAGGCAAAACTGTTATTGTCCAGTGTTTTTGTTTCTCGCTGTGCTAGATACTTCTTTATGTCTAACTACTTTTCCTAACAATGGAGCTTTCTTGAAGTGTACAACAATTTTTTCTGAACATTCAAACCTTTATGGTATGAAAAAATTCGACATCGTCTTATTCTTCCTCTTAGATATTTTTTTCATACTTTGGATATATAACAAACTAGTAATGTGCACAAAGCGGAATCAACCGCAAGGTCTACGTATTTTTTGTAGCGAGAGTGATATTACTTACCTGCTTGGTAGATATAGGTAAAATAGGGTATTTATTGAAGCAGGAATTCTGATATTTCGTGAAAACTATGTTTATCCCTTTTAGTCTTACAAAGACAACTTAACAAGCATGGTGTATTTTAAGTTTGTTTCTAAGATGTATAACTAGGTCATTGATAGGTCTTATTTATGTTCACTGTTTACGCTTTTTGAAATCGGTATATCAATAGGCAGTAGTAATATGCCCTAAAAAAATATTTGTTATATCGAACGTAAATCATTCATTAATTTTGGTGGATGTTCCTAAACGCTCAGCAATAGTTTGCAATAGTACGGCTTAATTCATGATAGCCTTTTCATGAACAATGTTTTACACCTCTAATATATGCAGATGTATCAAAGTAGTTAACATTTGGAAATGCAGGATGCTTCTGTTACAGTGACATACAGAAATTTATCTGCATGTAATTGTGGTGGATGTTGTCTGACAAAAGTTGACAGGTTTAAGTGCGTGATAAATCTAATTAATCAATTAAAATGGAATTAAATTCTACCATAGTGCACAAGTTTTACTCTCACATTCATGGTTGACAGGGATTTCATAGAATGGACAACTGATCGCTTTTTATTTTTGAACACATCCATATTCTTCTGTCTTGAATCTCTGGAACATTTAAGTTCTTAACTGTATTGTGTTGATTTGGTTGGATTCTAGACAAAATCGACATTACTTGAAAAATCGAGTGGATGACTCACGAAATGAAGTACAAAGTTTTCATATGCACGATTAAGCACCATCAAAAACGTCACTTTCCCCCTGAGTTACAAATATTCCTGATCTTTGCAAAAATAATTGATGCCCGGACTATAATTTGGTAACTTAATTAACTAAATTATTTGGTTTCGAATTAGATTTTCTGAAATTATAATGAGAAGTTAGACCTATGAGGTAGACATGGTCGGGTGTAAGGAAAACACTCTCAGGCGGCATTAGACAGCGGTCGTGCTATATCACAAATAGACAGGGGTGGGAAATATAAACTGCTAGGTTCCCAGCCAGCGATCGAATGGTAACGTGCTCGCTGCGAGACCTGACGGTCCTGGAATCAATCCCTAAGGTGGGTGCGGTCGTGGGTCTTCACTGATGAAGAGTTCCATACTAGGACTGAACAGTTAGCCGGCTCTCTGAATTTCCGCGACTTCATAGAAATCGCTTCTTCAGAGAATATAACCTGTACAAGTTTTTGCTTGTTTAAGTGGTAAACGATGACAAAGCAAGTAACTTTCCTCATTTATTATTATTATTTTCCCCTGGGTTCCTAGTGGAACATAGGGCTTCAGTAGCACGCCTCCATTGCACTCTGTTCTCTGCGGTCTTTTCAACCTGGCGCCACGACTGCTCAAAAACTTTCATTTCTTCTTCACATGATCTCCTCGATATCACCCTCGAACGCCGAACTCGTTGTTTTCCCTTTGGATTCCACTCGAGGGCCTGGCGCGTGATGTCCCCAGTCGATCTTCTCAGTGTATGGCCAGACCATCTCCACTTTCTTCTGCGTATTTGTTGCGTGGTCGGTTCTTGGTTGGTCCGTTGCCAGCTAGAGTGAGTTCCTTGTTGCTGATTCTTTCTGGCCATCTGTCTGATCTTCAGTATCGAGTGAGCGTAGGCAGCAGCTGTTGATGAGTGTTTGTAGTTTGTTGGAAGTGCTTTTAGTGACGCGCCAAGTTTCTTAACCGTCACATAGAGAAGCACTGACTTGATGCTGGTGTTGAAAATCCGGATCTTGTTCACGCTTTATGCTGAGTGCAGTAGATCTCCACACTGATTTCAGACCAATAAAGGCCTGTCTTGCTTTTCCGATCCTGGTTTTAACATCCTCGTCTGTGCCGCCTGTAATTGAAACGATGCTGCCTAGGTAGGTGAAAGAGACTTCCGTTAAATTTCTCCCGTTAATGGTGATTGGTGCTTATTGTTGATACTGTTGTTGGTTGGGTATCTTCATCAATTCTGTCTTCTCTACATTCACTTGAAGTCCCGTCTTCGCTGCCTCGCCTCTTCCGTCAACTTGTTAGTTTTCGCCTGTAGATCTTCGAGTTTGTGCAACA